GTGTGAGAGAGAGAGAGAGAGAGAGCGAGAGTGTGTGTGTGTGTGTGTGTGTGTGTGTGTGTGTGTGTGTGTGTGTGTGTGTGTGTGTGTGTGTGTTTGTGTGTGCGCGCGCGTCCATGCCACGTGCGCGCGTGCATGCACAGGCAGTCATGAAACGGCGCACACCTCAAACGTCTCCAGGTTGATGTCCAGCCGGCTGGTGGCAATGGGGTCAAGGCCCGCGGCTGAAATGGTGCGCGACATGGCCTGCAGCGCGGCCAGCGGGCGGTTGGCGTTGCTGGCCACCACCGCCAGCTCGTGGGGCTCCAGAATGTGCTGCAGCTCTGGGGGCGCGATTGGGGTTGAGGGTTCAGGGCCAGAGGATGCGATGAGGGGCTGCGAGGGGATGTGGGGGCATGAGGCGGCCAAAGACGCACGCAGCGCATGCAGCGGCGCAGAGTCCATCCCATGCGGGCCCCGCCGCTGCCAAGACTTCTCCCCGTATTTGGTGAGTGTGTGTGAAAACTGCAAGGGCTGCATACGGTGCATGATGCGCGCCCCCGCTCACCGGCCGCGACGTCCCCGTCTTCCCGCAGGTGCGCCTTGAGGGAGCGCGCGAACGCGACAGACCAGCGTGCCAGCACGGGCTTCAGCGCCGCGTGCTCTGGCGGGAACAGCATGAGACCCTTGTTTAGGGGGGCGGACGGGAGGGGAATGCATGGGAAGTAAACACTCACTTTGTCACGATTGGGCATCGGGCGCGAGGCGGCGGCTGTTCGGGGCACAAGCGTCGAGCGTCGTCTCAAGGGGTGTGCGGCGAGGCTGCTCTCGAATGGTGAACTCGGCCGTCCGCATCAGTCGCTGGCAAGAGCGGCTGCTGGTCAGCGGGGGGCTGGGCTGGAGCGGGAAGTCACGTATGCACGCGCAGTGCCTGCAGTGCCTTGCCTGGCGTACGAGGTTGCGGCTGCGGTTGACGAGCGACCCCCAGAGGCAGCGCGCCTCGTTCCTTGGATGGCGTTGCGTGGAGGGCGGCGGCGCGACGGCGCGGTCCGTCGCCACTCTTGATCAAGCGCCGATTAGGCGCGGCCGATGTGCGGGGCGGGCCCCTTTGCGATTGCAAACCCGATCCTTCCACACAGCATGCTTGCAGCACTATGGCTACACCTCTGACCTTGAGGGCCGCCCCTTCTCCGCTTGCACGGGCCATGCAGCCCCAGGCCTTTGCAAATAATCGGGGATCCGAGGCCAGGGAGCTTCAACCCCCCTCGCCTGCACAGCCCGTCTCCCCTCGATCAGACGTGCCACACAGCACAGGCCCGGCTAGCCCACGCCACCCTTTTGGCCCCCCTCCCTCCCTCGCCCAAACACAAGTGCGGGGCATGCACGCGGGCCCCCACCACCGCGCGTACGACACATTTGTCTTGAAGGCCAGCATGAGGGACATGGCAAAGGACGCCGCGTTGAAGGGGCCCTCCGCCGCCATGGCGATGTTGGGGAGGAAGGACGGCAGGACGCCCGCCTGTGGGGGGCGGCGTGCAGCCGGGTGAGGTCAGTTGGAGGATGCATGGGTGTGGGCGGAGCTGCAGCTCTTGCTTGCGTCGTGATCGCATGGGCCGTGCAGCTGGTACGGGCATGGTCTGCGCTGACCCGCTGGTTTTTCCAGGCAGGGCGTGCCAGCAGCCTCGCTCGTGTTGCGCCGCGGTCGCCCGTTTATCTGTGGGCGCGGCGCGGTCACCTGCAGCCCCGTCTCGTAGCAGCCGACCGCAGCCGCGATGAGGGCCATCGCGCCGACGGGCACCGCGAGGTCGAGAACAAAGTACGACCTGATGACGTCACCGTGGCGTCACACGACAAAGGCAGGGTGGGTTGCATCAAGCCGCCGGCAAGATCAAAGCAGCAAACGGCCAGCGGCCACTAGTGGGCGCGCCGCGCATGGGCCGCCGGCAGCGCCAGCGCCGGGCGCGCGTGCAAGGCCCGCCGGACTGCTCGCACCAGGCCTCGGCTTGTGACGAGTCGCATCTCCTGATTTCCCCAGGCCTGCCACTCTGCCACTCTGCCACCGGTCCTGCCCCAACAACATCATGAACGAGTTTGTTATTTGCCATCCACTCACTGGGTCAGGGTGACGAGGTGCTCCACGTATCGCAGGCGGCTGCGGTGGTTGCGCCACAGCTGCGACGCATTCAGGGCAAGAGAGACATGAAATTCTCGTGGTATTTGATGCCGCTGCTGCGGCTTCTGCCCGAGGATGCTACACGCAAAACGGTTCAGAAGAACGTGGAGTGTTTGAGCGGTTTTGAAATCATGCGCCAACAGCTCACCGCAAAGTCAAACACTGTCGGCGTCACGTCGGCCTCGTGCGCGCGCTCCAGCGTGACCGCCTCGAGCTTTTTCTTATAGTTGGAGGGCCATGATGGGCGAAAGCGCTCTGACGCGCCGCTGATGCGCGAGAATGCGGCCTCAAGGCGCTCCTCAGTACTTGGGGCAGCGGCGGCGGTGGCGCAGCTGCCGGGCTGCGCGTCGCCGCTGCTGCCTGGGGTGTCTTCGCCCGTGCTTGCGCAGGCACCGAAGTGGGCGGCTGCCGTGCTCTCGGGCCCGAGCGGCAGGTCTGGGCCTCTACTGCTTGCAGCGCGCGTTCGCAGGCGCAGCAACGCGCAACCACATGCGCGTGCAGCACCGCGCAGCGGCAGGGATCGGGGCGGCAGATGTGCATGTGTATTCATGATCGATTATCATAGATAGTGCGTACGTGCCAAACGACGTGCACGGTTCAGGAGTTTGACTTGATCAGACAGCGCCGCGCGGTGAGCCAGCCTCCGTGCATGGTACAGTACTTGCGATATGCTTTCAGATACTGGTTCTGCAGATTTGAGCGACTCATCAGGCACCTGATCACTGCTGCGAGAGGTTCCGTCGGACGTTGCGGAGTCTGCAGTTGCCGAATCGTCATCCCAGGGTACTGTACGCGGGATTGCTATGATGGCGGTCCAGCGCAGTGCGTGAAGGGCTGCAAATTCAGCTGGGCAGCCGAGAAGTGTGCAGCGCCGGCTTGTCAGGCCTTGTCGGTGCACAATGACGTCGCGTGCTGGGTCGGCAGTGTTTGCAAGCCTTGTGCCACCCTTACCTGAAGACTACCCACTCTTCTTACCTGAAGAGTACCCGCCCGGTACTCTTCAGGTAAGAAGACCAGTCAATCGTCAAGAGTTGCGAGTATATGATGCAGCAGCGCCTAGCACACTCAGACGAGCAGACAGCAGCCCGCTGTATGGCGCACTGGACCATACAGTAACACCAGAGCCTCCGGCATTACACACTCCGTGAGTGGGGGTAGTACTTGAGCTAGTGACGCAGGAGTTCCGGTGGTTGCGAAGATGCCCTGAAGAATCCGACGCAAATGGTGCGAATCCACCAGCGCCTGCCCTTCGGGACGAGGCTGCAGATCAATGTGGGCTGCAACCTTTTGGTGGATTAAGTCCTGAATTGAGAGACAGCAGCCATGCAGCAACATGGAGCCACAGGGATGTGTGGGCAAGGTCAGGCTGGTTGTACCTGGGACTGAACTGTTTTTGCGGTGTCCCATGTGCAGACATTCTCTGCAGCAGTGGTGGTGGGTAGGTAGGTTCTCTCTGGTCGCGCTTCGGCCTGCTGGCAGGGGTGGTCCTCTGTTGCCTCTACAGTCAACAAACTGCGATTTTCTGTTCTGCCGCGCTGCAGTAGCGGCGGCCTGGGCCGCCAGTGCAGGATGCGCCAGCACAGCAGCGACAGCGCCGGGGGCAGGGTCGCGCAGGTGTGTTGAGTCACCACGGCAACTGACACGGCAGCTCGTTGTCAGCAGCGAATCTCATGATACGGTATGATAACCCGCAAGCAGAACGATTTCATACGGTATTGAGCAGGCACGAGGATCGTCCGCTCCTGTTGCCCAAGTTTAGCCAAGTGCCCTCGGGCTTTCCGCACGCACCCGGATCACGCGGCGATCCCGGAGGTGGGCTTCGCTTGCCCTGAAGGTTGGTTGATACTCAATATTCGTGTCCATCATGTCCAGGGTTGGGCATGAGGTGGTTCTGAGAGTGGCTGCCGCGTGCTGCTCAGGAGCGCTGCCCCTCTCAGCCCCTGCGCAACGTACGGATCGCAAGCGTGCTCTTTGACGGCTGGGACACCTGCATGCCCCACCTCCCCCAAACATAGCGCCCATCTCTGAGTGCCCACCTGGCTGGCGCGCAAGTGCTCGGCGCCTGCCATGGATTTCGCCGCGCAAGCGGCAATGGAGGCACAGGCGATCCTGTGCGGGCGCCTGCCGTCTGTAGAAGACACATACGACATCGCCGCGCTGCTGGTGCGCGCTTTCACGGCACCAGAGGCGACGGCCATGGCAGCGGAAGCTGCAAGGGCAGCGTACGTAAGGCTGTTTCGATCCGACGCCCACGGTGCGGAAGCCATAGCCGCGCTGCTCTCGCCCGCCTCGCGCCAGGCGCTTGTTGCAGCGCTCGAGGGCGGCGGCCATGCCGCGCTCAAAGTCGGGCACATCCTTTTCCAAGTGGTATGTTTGGGCTCACGCAGCGATGGATTGTTTGCGCGAGACACATGTGACCGCATCGCGGGCACGGATGGCATGATTGAATCCATGGTGCACGCCCTCCAGCGGGCTACCCAAGCGGCGCGGCTGCTGCCTGAGGCCCCTGTTGATCACAACCTGCGAAAGGCTGTTGGCAACCTTTGCTTTGTGCTTTCGAGATTCATACAGTGTGAGGGCTGTGCAGCGCATCTTCTTGCTGCCCCCGGTGCTGTTGGCGCCCTTGCCGCTGCTGGGCGCATGGATGGGGCCCCGATAGATTATTATTGGTCTGACACGATCGTGCGCATGTTTGGATCGATGATAACTGTTTTGGGTGCGGACGCGGCGCGGGCGCTGATGGCGGAGGAGGGCGCGTTGCATATGATTGTGCAGGCGGTGGGCAGGAAGAAAAATAGTTTTTAGACCGGTGCGCTTGCAACGCTGCGGCTGCTGGCCTCCGCCGACGCTGAGATTGCGGGCCGCATCATCGCAGACACAGGCGCCAAGGCCGCGCTGATGGGCGCCGCCGTCACGGGCACCGCGAGCGAGGAGGCCCGCGCCGCGGCCAGCATCGTGCTGCGAGGGATCGCGAACGCCGGGCACGCCGGTGCTGTGGCGGTGGCACTCAGGCCGTGCCTGGTGTCGCCGGCGGACGACGCTGAGCGTGGCCGCGCGCGCGCCGCGCTGATGGAGTTTCTGCCCGCGCCGTCGGTCGACGTTCTTGAGGCCGTCGCCCGCGAGGCGGAGATTGAGGCGGCGGCCCTTAGGGCGGAGGTGGCGGAGCTGCGGACGATCCCAGTCAACACGCGCGCCGCTATCATTGAGCTGGCGGCGGCGGCAGCGGCGGCGGCGTCTCGCAAGTAGTGCTGCGCGTGCAACTCTTGTGTTATTGCTATTCCTTCTGCAAATGTTTGCACCTTGGCTGGGCCTTGTCTCCCAGGCTTGTGTTTTTGTTGGGTGTTAAACACACATGCATGTGGCGTGTAAACCTGTACTGTGTGTGCATGCACATGTGATTGGCTTGTTCCCTGCTGCCTCGTGTGACTTGAAGCGCTGGATTTATGACAGGTTCTTACTTGTTGATAGCTGCCACACCCACCCGGTAGTGACGGTGATCTGGCAGTTAAAGGCCTGCAGACAGTCGGCCCATTGCGTGGTATTACCTTTTCAACCGCCTTGAGCCTGCTGTATTCAAAAGAAAACCAGGTGGGAACGAGGTAGCATGCAGCCGCAGCAGCCCTCAATGAAACAACATTCACTACGCAACTGCCGTCTTTGCTTGTCAGCATGCCGTTGGAGAGGGTTCTAGGGCCTGTGATAGTGAAGTGGCCGGACACCGGTGTGCAAGCAGAGTGCTTTCACGAATCAGGTCACCAACGCTCGCCAATCTTGGGAGGTGCATCAAGTCCAGGCCAATGCGCACCCAAGTTGTGCCGGAGGTGAGAGGGCTCGGGCCACTTGCGACAGACACTGAGATATGAGTTTCCTGGTTCTCATGCTGCTGTAGAGCCGAGCATTACATGTATCCATGCTTCAAGGGTTGGACCCTTCCGTTGCAGCTGGTCTGTGCCTGAGGAATTTACTACCGCCTTGTTCTTGCCACCTTCAAGCTGCAGCTGCCTGATTCGCACGTGTGACAAGGCATGACTGTGTGGCTTTGGCCTGACCTTCCTGCCATCCGCATTCACTGTCAGGAAAGGGTCTAAAGCTACAAGGTCATCTCATCGTAGCAGGTCAGATTTCTTGGCAAATCCCTGGCCGGCAATCGCCACCGATTCCTCAGCGGCCGCCCGCCCCTGGCCTCCATTCCGCTGCTCCTGGTGTGACCTGGAATTGTCACTTGGGTCAACACGCATGCCGCGCCCTCCTGCATGTGGCAACCCGAGTCGTTCTTGCATAGTACACACACCAAGAGAACTGGTGTTGACTGAGCCCTTGTATCATTGGCGACCTGAGCCGCAACCGCACCAGGGCGTGGCTGTCGGGCGTACGCCCGTCTGCACGGTGGCACACAGCGAGGTCCATACCGGTGAACAGCATCATCTGATGGTCATGTGTATTGCCACCTGCAACCCTGGTACTGTATAGTCACAACGGTGACGATCTCATGGCAGTGGCCGGTCATCCCTCGCGCTTGACGACCTCTTGCCGCTTCTGAAAAGTCACATGCACGTGTGGTTCCCAAATTTGCAAACTCGACCTCACCTTGTTTTCGCACACCCTTGTCTTCGCTCCCAGCAAGCACCGCCCGCTGCCCCGCTTTTGCGCCCGCTGCGCGCTCATAAGTTTGTTGGGAGAGCCACACAGCGAGTGGCTGACTTGTGCAACTGCTCTGTCGGGCTTCTGCGCCCCGAGCGTTTGGCGCCCTGCGGGTGCTGCGCCGCGGTAGGGTGCGCCCTGCTCCAGGGCGCCACCTCGTCGCGCTGCTGCGCGTGGCAGGCCCTGGCCTGCCGCGCCTTGCAGCCATGCGGCGTCGTGTGGAATCACACATCATCTTCGGGGACCAGCAGGGACAATACGTGACCATGGCGCGGCTGATGCGTTCGGCGGACGCGTCGCGGCCGTCGGCGCAGCATGCGGCAGGGCACGCGTCTGCGGCGACGTCAGTCTTGGCTCACCACGGCAGCAGCGGCGGCAGCAGCGGCGGCGCCGCGATATACGACCCGTGGCTTGCGTCGCTGCCGGCCGTGTCCCGGGCGCTCGCGCGGCTGCGCGCCCGCCACGCCGCGCCTGGCGCGGCGTGGCGCGCGCTGGTGGCAGCAGCCCTGCTTGGCGCCAACGCGGCCGCGCTGTACTACGTCGCGCGGCGCGCCTACCTGGCGTATCAGGAGCAGCAGCAGCAGCAGCAGCAGCAGGAGCAGCACAAGGCGGGCGACGAGCAGCAGGCCGAAATCACGCGCGTTGCCCTCGCCTACCTGCAGCGGCTCTGGGATGTCGCTCTGCAGGTCCGTGCGCGCGGCGCTGCTTTGTGTCTGACACACCTTTGGGCTCATCTTTGAATTGCGTGTCTCATGCCGCGCGTTGCTGGGGGGTGGCGCGGGAGTTTGTAGATCAACGCTTCCTTGACGCACCCAAGACATTGCGGCTGCACTGGCAGCAGGCGCTGTGCGGCGTGCGGCGGTCCAAGCCGCGCCGCCCACGCGCCCCACCAAACCCCAGGCCAGCGCTGCAGGGGCGCCTCCCGATCTGGGCCCGCCAGACGAGGAGGGCGTGTTCACGTATCACGGCCGCGGCGGCGCGAAGCTCTATTTCCGCGTCGCCCCGCGGCCGTTCAAGGACGCGGCCCCGCACGCGGGGCCGCCCCTGTGGCAGTGGAGCACGAGCAGGCGGCTGTGGCTCCCCACGTCGGCGGTGGGTGGGGCGTCCGCGGGCGCGGGAAGGGAGGGGTGCACAGGTGTCGCGGGCAGGGCCGGGCGGAGGCGGCCGCCCATGTGCGCCCCAGGCGCAGGGGTCCACTCGTCGGCCGTGTCTGGTCAGCCGCGCTAGGCTGCCTCCTTCTGCTATGTACATCTGGTGTCTGGTGCTGGCACAGTGTGTCTGCCGGCCCCGAACCTGCGTCCATCCGCAACGACTGCCTTGACAAAAATGCTCCACCCCGCAGGCCGACAGCATTTGGTGCGCCAGCGGCGACCAGGGCGGCAGTCCCTGCCTCGGCGGCCGCCTGCTCATCCGCCGGCTCGAGCTCGAGTCGCAGCTCGCGCGCGGCGCCAGCTGCCGCGTCGCGCGCGCGGCCGCGGAGCCGCTGCGCGCGCTGCCGCCGCTGGAGATCCCTGCGATCGCTCTGAGGCCGCGCAACGGCACTAATGGCAAGGCGGGCCACGGCGCCGCCCTCGGCATCGTAGCGGCAGCAGCAGCGGGGGTGGCCGGCGGCGCCGCGGCGCTCAGCGGGCAGCTGCTCCCGGACATCCCTGACAGCTTCCTGTGCCCGCTGAGTCAGCGGGTGATGACCGACCCCGTGGTGACGCCGGGTGAGCGCTGTGGCGCGGTGTTGCGAGAGGCCGGATTGACCTCTTGTGGGGAGCTTCCTCAAGGGGATGAGGCTGTGATGGCGTGTGCAGCGGCAGGATGGCAGGGAAACCTGTGGTATTTGCAGGCCTCTTACACATCTCTGCCCCTCCCCCTACGGCACCATCCCTGAATCCGTGCAAACCGCCCTTGCCTGCGCCCAACCCTTGAAACCGCGCCTCAACCCCTGCAGGTGGCGTGACCTACGACCGCGCCGCCCTGAGCGACTGGATCCGGCGGAAGGGCACCGACCCTGTCACCGGCCACCCGCTGTCCATCTGCAACTGCTACTCAAACCTGAACCTGAGGGACCAGATCTGCGGGCACTTTCTGGTGCGGGAGCAGCTGCAGGATGCATACTGACAAGTCACTCACTCTGATGCGATCTCGGCCAGTTGGGCGTGGGTGCAGGAGTTCTGCAACGACCACCGGGCGGCGCACCGTTGACCTATGTTTGACCAGGGTTTGGCGCCAGTCGAGGCGGCGGCGCGCTTTCTCCGCTGTACTGCGTGGCGGCCGGCGCAAACCGGAGGCGTGGCTGCATTTTGGGCCTTGCACGGGTTGCTTATTTGTGTTTGACTATCTCGCGACAATCATCAACGCGCCTGTTGTTTGCGTTTATAGCGGCGAGTTGTGTTTGGGGCCGTGACAATGCGCGTGCCGCCGTTGCACCTCACATGGCAGGGGAGTTGCGAGAGGCATTGTTTCGCCCCAACTCGTGTTGCGTGTTGCCCCCCACACACAATCGTGCTTATTTCATTCTGTTGAGAACTGGCTCACAACAGGCACGCGAGAGCCCGCCTGGCGCGTATCACGCGGACCATGGCGCGCATTTACTGCCAACACCTTGATAATCCCTGATGCAGCCATCGACAGCGGGATCACAGAGTTTGAGCAGGGTGGCAGGGGAGGGGCGTCGGCCGATCTCACACACATGCATGGCACAGTCAGCCCTGCATTACACACTTTACTGGGCACACGCTTGCAGACCGCATGGAGCACCTTGGCGTGCGGCACGGCCAGGGCCGTTTCGGGGCATCAACATTGCATCTGCATTTATGCAACGCAGTTGCAATCCCACAAATAGGGCTTGCCGACGTTGTAAACCAGCCCTGCTTTTGGGCCCTCTCATCCTCTGACAGGCAAGGTGGATTTAAGCCTGGCACCCCAGACCGCACTGCTCATGATGGATTGAAGACGTGCCAATGAACACGGCGTACAAACACAAAACAGAAAAAGTAAACGGACAGGCAACTGCACCAACGTGATCATATGGACAGTCACTTGATGCCTTCCTTGGCGGGCAACACCGTTGACGCATGGCTGGAGCGCAAGGCGCTACAACCCTCCGACCACGGGCATGCCAGGCGCCCCGTGCAGGCTGCTGCTGCTGCTGCTGCTGCTGCTGCTGATGATGATGATGATGATAATGATAATTATTACTATGGTGATGCTGCTGGGCAGCTGGGTGGCAACTCACGCTGCGCCGCCCGGCTCGGCTGCTGCGGCTGTTGCTGCTGCTGCTGCGCGGGCGTCCAGGCCGCCTTGATCGACAGCGCGTGGATGCCGCCCATCTCCTCCTTCAGGGCGTCGTGGATCTGGTTGTTGCAACAGATGCAGCGGTGCATACCAAATGCAGCAGCACAAGAAGCAGCAAAAGGTCAGCAAGGGCGTGGCTGAGCGGGAGGCGGCGTGAGGCGCTATTGTCAAGGTAAGGGGTGGCAGCCGCCGTGGCAGCTCGAGCGTGGGGCGCCGGTGCAGCTGATTGGCTCAGCACGGCGCAGCTAATAGCAGCAGCAGGCGTCATCATGACCCAACTCCGCACTGCTACAAATTCCGTGTAGTTGGCCCTTCAGCGCGTGTGCTGCGCGAGTTTCATCTTGTGCGGGGGTCCATGTTCCTGCCTGAGGCTGCACCCGCATGCGCTCACCATCCGGTGACGCGCGATGAGCATCTTCCCCTCGAAAAGTGTTGACACCACGCCCACATCAAACGCCGCGCCACACCTGGCAGCCCAAAGCAAATGCGCACGGTCAACGCAGGCCCGCCTTGCGCGCTGCGGACGCCGCTCGGCACGCTTGCGCGCATGCCTGCCTGCGTGTATGCTGCGTGCGCGGCGCTGAGCAGCTCCCAAACGGATGCTCACACCTCACCCGCCGGATGTGTCAACGACAGAGACAGACTCCGCCTGCAGCGCCGACTCCAGCTTGGCCTTGAGCGCGTCGGCGCTCACTGCCGGTGATGCCGCCATTCCAGGAGCGACGTTGCCGTTGCCGCCTGGTCTGCGCTGCTTGCTATGCCTCACCCTGTGCCTGTTACGGTATCACAATGAGCTTTCTCGTGAGCGCAAACCTGCCCCACACGATGCAATACACAGAGGCGTGATCTCGGTAGATCTGTGAGTAGGAGAATGGATCGGCGCTGGTAAATGACAAAGACGTGTGTACGTCAGGGTTGGTTATGAGAAATTTGTTTTGCTGGACCCATCGCTCTCTTAAAGTCATAACCCGACACAACTGAAGGCGCTTCATCATCCCGAGCACCACATAAAGTACCGTATCGGACGGACACACAGCTACCAGGTGTTCTCATCGTCGCATGCTCATATATAGGCTCACCTGTGCCGTGCACAGTCACTTCGTCCCCGCCCGGTAGGCGGAGCGGCTTGCACCAATGCTCGCGCTCCGAGCCGTTGCGGCATCGGCTGGGCGCTCAGCAGGAAGAGCCTTCCCCAGCTGCAGCCGACTCGGCTGCCACCTCACCATCATTCCGCTCGCGCGCAGGACCCCCCGGTGCCGGCCGCCGCCGCCAGCCGCAGCCGCGCGACCGCCAGGCGCGCGCCCCCGCAATACGATGAGCGCCCCGCTGCGCTGCGCCCACGTGACTGTCCCCTACACGGAGCTCGAAGCCGGCATAGAAAAGTGCGGACACAGCGCGGCCCGCAATCCATTCCACGCAGACCCAGATCGACCCATGCGGCCACGCTTGCGCCCAGCCGCGCGCCCAGAGCGCCTGGCCAGGCACTTCCCTGTCGGCCACCATCCAAACAGTAGGGCTCTCACGCTCGTGGGCGCATTGCACCACTGATGTAGTCTGTCGATTTCAACCGCGCAGGCTTGACCGCCTGCCGCCGCCGCGCTACGTCGTCTTCACCGCCGACCCGGACCCCGCCACTGGCCTGCCCTGGTGCCCCGACTGCGTGCGCGCGCTGCCGGCGGTGCGGCGCACGATGGAGGCGCAGGGCGCGGCGCTGCTGGAGGTCGGCGTGGGGCAGCGCGCGGACTGGAAGGGCAACGCGGCGCACCCCTGCAGGTGAAGAGGCGGCTGCCTGTGGGCGGGGCGGCTGCGGCAACTCCCCTTTAACACAGCCTGTGGTCAGGGCGCCGCGGCATGCGGCCACGATTTTTGAGGCTCAGCGCACCGCCATGCAGACAGCAGCTGCGCGCCCAGCAAGTCTTGGCTGATTGCACATAAGATGTTTTACGCACGCTCAAAAGGGAGTCGCTCATGACCTCTGACTCGGTTGCGCCGCAAACTTGCACGCGCCGCTGCCCCCAGGACCGACCCGCGGTTCAACGTCGGCGGCGTCCCCACGCTGGTGCACTGGAAAGGCGGCGAGGAAGCCGGCGAGAAGCTGGGCGCTGAGCTGGAGAACGCGGCCTCTCCTGAGGAGGCTGTGGCTGTCGTCGCGAAGTTCATCCTGGACACTTCGGGCAAGTGAATGCCTCGGCCGTCGCACGTCGCACTTCGGGCAGGCCTGGCTCCCCAGGCCTCCAGCCCGCACGCCAGAATCAGAAGTCAAATAAAGCGGATGGGAGGCTACTGAGTTTGCGAGGTAGGGGCAGCGGCTATCAGAGTCACCACAAATCACAGGGCTTGCATGCATGTGGCGCCGACTGTAACAGCTCAAAAACTTGGAAGGGCACCATTGTACAAGCTGCATCCATCTCAGTACAGCATAATGTCCACCGACAAAGTCATAGTGGCAAAACAAAAGGGTCAAAGAGTCGATTTGGGGGACAGCAAGACAACTAAATTACGCCTGCAAGCGCGTGCCGGCACGGCCAAATTGCGCAAACGGCTGGGCTGCCGAAGGGCTCGCCACCAATGTGCTACCGTCTGGCGGCATCCGTGCCGCTGCTGCCGCCGTCGCCGCCGCCCCCCACAGCCGCTGCGCCGCCTGCCGCGCCGTCCGCGCCTGCTGCGTCCCCCAACACGCGCCCGTCGCTTGGCACGAGGCGGGGTATGCCTCCAATAATGGGGTAGGCCACGCCAATGTCGTCATTCACGAGCTCCATGGCGGCAGGGTCAAACCTGGAGGCAAGCACACGCGCCCACACGTGTGTGTACGCGTGTGTGTATATGTGTGCACGCGCGCGGGGGAGGAAGGGCTGTCGAAGGAGTACGCGTGAACCCTGCTGCTTGTCACTGCGCATTATCGGCTTCGTATGTGGGCTTATGCGTTTGGACCATGCGGCTGGGTTCAATGTACGCTCAAACAGGGACAGTGGAAAACCTGTCAATCGCTCTTGTAGTTGCTGCAGGCGCGATGCTGCCAAAGGGGTTCCAGCTGCGGTGCTGCTGGTGCGACAGCCGCAGGTAGGGAAGTTGCAATGACACTCTGCTGCGTGCAGCCAGTGATAGGCGTGGCTGTGCGCACCTGAGGGGTGTTTTGGAAAGCGGGCACACGAGGAAGGGCAGCAGCGACGTATCAAACTGGCCAGCGCCGTCGGCGGGGCCTGCTTCGGCTGCTGTAGCTGTTGAGGACCCTAATCGCCGCCGTCCTGCAGCGGCAGCACGTTCTGGCAGACATGTGGCCGCAGCTGCAGTTGCGCTGCGCCAGGTACCAGGCAGGCCATTGAGGGCACCGAGATATCGAATCAACGCCATGCTTATATGTGCCCCACGGCGCTGGATGATGATCTTCGTACTCACTGTCGCAGAAACGCCGGATCTGATGCCGTATGATTAGGGCAACTACCACGTATATATAGTCATTGGGTTACAAAGCGACTTTGGGGACAACTTGAAGTCAGTGTCACCAGGTGACAACACCATTGCATGCGCTCATCACAACTGCAATTGCGGGCTGCTTGCTATACACAAACACCTAGGCGATACTGTACAAAACGGATCCCAGAAACCTCAAGCAGGAGGCGGAGTGTCGTGTGTCCCTCTCCTCGACCGGGCAAAGCGGGGCAACAAAGCGGGGCGCCACCGCCACGGCTGCCGCCTGGCTGGCAGCGCAGAGGCCATCATCGGTCGCCACCATCCCCCTCCTCCCCCCATTCAGGATAGCTCCATTCTTCTTCCTGCATGGCTGTTGCCCATGCGGGCGTCCTCTGCACCTCCCCAACCACCTCGACGCTGACGTCATCAGCCCCCTCCCCTGTCGCCCCGCCCTCAGACTCCTGCCCCGCTGGCACCGCCTCACCGTCCGCCCCGAACAGAACGCCGCGACCCTCCTCCACCACGCCGCCTGCCTCCGCCACAGCCCTTGCGACCTGCCCCTCTGAGCCGCGTCCCTCAGGCGATGCGGCCGCCTCAGCGCGCGCAGCGCGGGCTGTCACCAAGCCGCCCACGCCGGCCGGCCGGCCGGCGGCCCCAACCGCTGCACCAGTGGCATTTGCCGCCTCTGACCAGTTCACCGGGCCCCCACCATCCTCAAGCTCCTCTGGCATTGGGGCGCCGCCTCCCTCCTCGCCCTCCACCTCCTCTCCCGCCGCCTCCTCCTGCTCCTCCTCCTCCTCCGATCCGCCCTCTTGCACCTTGTCCCCAGCCCTAGGGGGCGGCCCCTCCTCGCCTTCCTCTTTCGCCTCCTCATCCTGCACAGGCCCCAATTGCTGCTGCTGCTGCTGCTGCTGCTCCTGCTGGCGCAGGGGTGCGCGGTCAAAACCACTATCGTCCCAGCGAATGCCGTGCACCCAAGCCGTTGCCAATGCGCCAGCCGCCGCTGGCGCTCCAGACCCGGCCAGCGCGGCTGCATCGGGGACCGCCGCCGCCTCTGCATCAGCTGGCTGCGCGACCACGTCAGCGCCGGGGCTGGCGGGCTGCGGCAGTAGTGGGAGGGCTGTCGCAACCAGCGGGAATGGCAGCGGGGTGGATGTCGCGCCGAGCGGCGTTATGAGTTCGGGCGAGGTGGCGGCGTGCATGTGAAGCTCAGGAGAAGCAGACGGCTGCTGCTGCCGCTGCTGCTGCTGCTGCCGCCCAGGACTTGTCATGTTTGTTAGTAAGGCAGTGCCCCTGCCAGCCTGTTGAGGCAGCGTCCCGGCACCGCCGCCTTGCGGCCGTGGCGCGGCATCGGGCGGCGGCTCCGCCGCGCGCCACGCACTGCTGGGCAGCACCCGGCAAGCCAGCCACGTGATGCACAGGGAAGCGCCTGATGCGGCTGCAGACAGGAACGAGCCTCTCTTGGGCGGGCGGGCGCCGGCAGGGGGCGGGTCGTCGATGTGGCCCGCGTCCACGAGTTGCAGGGGGCGTTTCTGCGCGCGGGAGCGCGCGCGCGCAAAGGCGATAGGAGGTAGAAGTGGCGGTCAGCGGCGCCCGTCATCAGTGGTGCGCGCTGCACAGGATGGCTTGCTCCAGGCAGGTTGAAGCGCGCACAACATCTGGGGCGCCGCACGCCCATCTCAGCGCAGCACCTGGCGCCTGAGGCTGCCGTAGAGCAAAATAGATTCCGTCAAGCCTACTTATTCACGACGCACCTTGGCGGCATGTTGCTCCATCGAGCTGCGAGGTCCCGGGTTCTCAGATCGGTAGCGTCAGCCTGTGAGTTCAGCTTGACAGGAGATGGTAGAGTTTTACAGCAGTAAATGTGCGTGGGCTGTAGTGTTGCGTGCTTCGCAGCTGACAAGACGAGTATGACATCAAGGCTAAGGGAGGGCGGGCAGCCTCGACGGGGTGCATGGGCAACGGCTTCCAGTGTTTCATGTCCCGTGCACGGGCATAGAAAATCAGATCACTCCTTCTGAGTAGGTGGATCTTTCGAAGCCAAGCGCGTGCAGTTACCCGGCGCCGTCGAGCTACATGGCTGCGCAACAAATCGATGCAAGGGCAGTGACCAGACCAGATTCACCAGACCAGAACAGTCAAGGTTGAGAATGCCACTTTGTTGCTAAGATGTGGGACGAGACCCTGCATCAGGAAATTCGCGCACCTTGTTGTTAGGCAGTTGTTATTTTGAAGTCCCGCCTGCCTTGAGGGCTCAAGGTGACTTGCAGGCATTTGTTGGAGCTTCCGAGCCTGCAAAGCAGGCGGAGAGCCAGCTGGTGTCCTGCCGTCCAGTGCAGGTGGCAGGTTGCCCATGAGAGTCATATGGCAGATGCCCATAATGCCCAGGCACCCGTCTGCCAAGGCTGACTAACAGGCCGGCTGCCATGTGGTTGAATCGCTGGTGAAGAAGGTGCATGCAACTTCGGTCACAAGAGGGCTCCCAGGGGATTTCGAGAGCGACCAGTGCCGTGCCATTACCAGCGCAACCCACGCACGCATGCCAGCAGCAACTGATGGCGCCACCCGCTACTTTGGGGCATCAGTTCACAGCTCCTCAGCTGCCTGCACCTGCCACACAATTATCACTGAAACGGGTGTTGACAGCGCAACAGCCCTCAAGGGGTGCAAGAGGAGCAAGCCACAGCACGGCAACTGATCAACAGTATCATTCGCAACGATATTGCACCAATCCCCGGTAAAAACAAAGGGAAAGCACACATGAGCACAAGCTGCCAGTACCAGCCCACCAATGGTGACGCGCGCAGCGCTTCGCACACGCCAGCCCAAGCAAGGGCGTCCCACCGCCGCGCAACCGCACGCGCACGCCCACGCGCACGTCACGCGCCGGCCGCCTGCACCTCTGCCCGCTCCACGGTGGCCGTGAGGCGCCGCGACTCCTCGTTTTCCTTCCAGACTGAGCCGTCTGTGAAGAACTCTTTCTTCCATATGGGCACGGTGGCCTTGAGCTCGTCAATGGCCCAGTGGACAGCCTGATGTGTGTAATGTGTGTGTGTGTGTAATGTGTGTGTGTGTGTGTGTGTGTGTGTGTGTGTGTGCATGCGCGTGTGCATGCCTGTATGCATGCGAGTGAGTTTGCCTAAGTCATTCGTCGCCGCTTCAGCGGGCCGCCGCGTACCGAAAGCCGTGTCCCACCCATCAAGTCTGCAATCATCCGCCCACCCCCCCCTCCCGCACCTCGAGCGCGGGCTTGCGGTGGGGGCTGGACACCGCGATGATGACGCTGGCCTCACACACCTCCACCACGCCCACCCGGTGCGCCACGGCGACGCGGCTGACGCCCCAGCGCCGCCGGATCTCCAAGCACAGGTCCTGCGGTGAAGGCGTGAGCGGGGCGGCAGCGGTGCAGGCATGGAATTTTTTGGGGGGGAGGTAGATGGGAATGGAGGCGCGGGGCGATGGTTGAAGAGCAAGAGGCATGCGACGAAAGGGGCCATGGGGGTTGGCAGCGTGTGGGGTTGCGGTATCAGAGAGTGGTGACCGCAGGTTGGGATGAGCTGGTTTTGCAAGGGCCTCTACCTCCCCGGCTTCCGATGCACACAAACTGTCCCCTGTCAGGTGAGAGGCTGTGCAGGCTGTGGTCGCAATCACGCGTGGACACGCCTCGCGCCCTCCTCAACACCCCTGCGCGCACATGCAAGTGGCGGGCGCGTGTCCAGTCAAATCACGACAAAGGGGCCCACCTTGAGCTTCCCCAGGGCCATGGGCACATAGGCCTCGTATTCCAGCCGCAGCACCCGCGCCCCCTGGAACGTGTCGCGCGTCGTCCCCACAAACACGGCCACCGCCCCCGCCCCCGCATCCGTGACGAGCTCCGTGAGGCGCGCCGCCTCCAGCCGCGACGGCGTCACCTCGACAAACCAGTGCGCGTCCTCGGGCCCCTGGAGCATCTGGCCCGCCGGCACGCGGGGCAGGGGCGGGGCGGTGCCCGCGCCCCCCGCTCCGTCATCTGTCGCCTGCTGCTGCTGCTGCTGCTGCTCTGAGCAGTGCACCTCCAGCTGCTGCTCGGCCCGAATTGCTTCCGCGTCTGCAGCGCCGCCGGGGCCGTCCAGCACCATGGGGTCCGTGGCGGCGGCTGCGCCGTCCCCGACGCCAGGGGGCGTCGTGGGCAGGGTCTGCCCCGTCTCAAGAAACTGCTTCGACCAGCGCTCCGCGGACACGCCTTCGGGCGGTGGCGCCGGCCACCCTTCTGAGACCCAGCGCTGGGCGGTTGTCAAGGAGGCGGCCGCGGCGTCTTGGCGGGCCTCGAAGTAGCAGGCCACGGCGGCAGCGCGCTGCTGGGGCGTGTAGCCATCGTCTATGTGGCGCCGCTTCGGCTCGGGGCCCAAGGCACTGCTGCCAGCTTGTTGTCCAGAGATTGCAGGTGCGTCTGCGTCTGGGGCGTCCATTGCCTGCCGCCGCTGCTGCTTACTGCCGTCCTCTACACGTTCACCGCCGCCGCGTGGGTGCAGCCCGCGTCAGCCGGCTGTTGGGGGCTCTGCTACCCGCGCTGCCCTGGCGCTGGTGGCGCGTCAGCCAGGTGCGTGCGCAGGCCCAGCTACTGGGATAGGGAGGTCAGTGGGGGACAGAGTGTCACATTGGTGCCAGAAGTGATGGCGTAGGAACGGCGGATGCTATGCGTCCGAGATGGTGTACCGTGTCGGCGCACGGCGCTGTCCCCGCTGCTCATGTAATTCACAGGGACAAGCGGGGGACGTGCGCGGTGCGACTTGGCCCGTACCTGTCTTATACAGCTGAAAACTTTTGGTATGCTCGATAGATTGGTGATCCGGTGGACGGCGCGTGTTCGCAACACAGCATGCCCAGCAGCTGACGTTCTGGTTGCGGAGCACGCGACAGACAAGCAACAAGCAACGGCAAAGGTTATGACTGCGGCTCTGTCTATCTGCGCCACAGTAAAGTGGCACCGGCAGGGTCACCCGCGCCGTGGGCGTCGGTGCAACTGCATCGACTTCCCCCTGGATCATGAGCCCCATTGCTGCCGCGTTGTGAGGGCGAAGCAGCAACTGGCTGTGCCCAGATGTCATGCACTTCTATTGCAGACACTGTGCTGTGTGTTATTCGAGAGCATCATGCCACCGGCGCGGCGGTTCTTGGCATTCCCATGAAGCCCAGGGGTGGCTGCCTGTCACTGGTAAGTGTAAATGGGTAAAGCCGCCAAAGGGCAGACTGTTGCGCTCGTAAGTACTGTGGCGGCACGTGGAAGATCAGGCATGATTGTGCAAGCAGTAGTGATTGGATGTGTTGTTTACACGGGTGTTGAAGGGCGCAACACGTGGAGTGCGCGCAACCCATCGGGGCTGGTGGCACGGGATAAGTTTTGTATTGCGTGTGAAATGGGGACCTTGCAAAACCGCTCGGGCGCGCGCGCGACGACACGCATCAAGCTAGCGTACATTGCACGCGAGGCAGACCAATTGGTCACTGGGCAAGACCAGGTCGGGTGACATGCGTCGTGCAGGCGTTGGCGCATTCGCAGGCATGCAAATCTGCGCGCCAACACGCCATGGGAGCCCGAGCAGGGCGCCCTGGGTTAGATGGCCACTCGCTCTGGGCGCCGGCGGGCGCCAGAGAAGTCAGGCCACTGGCAAAAACGCCTTGGCCTGCTTGATGCACGCAGTGCGCGTTCATGCAAAGGGCAGCGCGTTCACACAGTCCAACGGGTGCGCAACAGTTGCAGTTGCACCTGGCTGGCTGGCTCGCTGGCTCCGAATCAAGGTTGCCACCCCCCATCCGAAAAGGCACAAGACCGAGAGAGACGTCAAGACGTGAACAGGCACGCGCGTGCTGGTTGCACGGGCACATATTCCTTGCGCCCTGCTGCCCAGAAAATCGCAGGGCGAGGGTGCCTTGCTGTGGGCGCCACCAAGGCCGCCTCTGTCACGTGGTTTAACCCTTGAAAAACCCGCCGCGCTTGTGGGCGATGCGCTGCACGGGGCATGGGCAGCAACGGGGAGAGAGTCATGGCAAAGAGGCGGCGGTCCCCTGAGTCCGGTGAGGGGCTGCGGGCAAAGCAGTCCAACCCCTGCAAACAACACGCTGACAGAGCCGTGGAATTTTCTGAGAGATGCTTCGGCCTTGAGCCGTATCCGGAAAGCAGAAGGGCCGCGCGTCGCAGGCGAGACCGTCGGGTTGGGCGCGCACGAAAGTGCACCGCGCACACGGGGCCATTCCAGCGTTGTCGAGGCGCTGTGCGGCGCCTCATGATTGGAGCGCAGGCCGCGAAATGCTGGGTGGGAAGCGCATGACCTCCAACATGGGGACAGAGAAAGCAAGGTGGGCAGACAGATAGGCACGCGCACAAGCGGGCTGTTGCAGTGGCATGGGGCCGGCCGCTGGTCGGGGAAAGTGGTTGGAGAGGGATCGCTCGCGCAAAGCCACGACGGGCGCGGCACACCCCCAGCTTGTTGTTGCGGCAGTCTTCCGGGCATCTTCTGGGGTGATCGTTTTTCGAGTACGGTAGTAGCACAAGGGTCTCTTCAGCCCTCCGCAAAGAGAGGTGGGGGGTGTTGGCGCGCTGCCCTTGTGCAAGGCGGCCCGCGCGGCCGAAACTAGGGCGAGACATGGGGTTGCCACACCGCGGCACAGCGGGAAGTTTGGCCGCGATGCTGCGTAGCTTTCCCTTGAGCAACCAACAGCATTGCAGAACCTACAATAGAACATCAGGAGGGGCAATCCACACGTGCTTGCTTGCAATGGGGCGCAGCGTGCAGGAGGGTCGAGCCCATGCACACGCGACCCAAGCCAAGCCAGGTGCGGGCGCAACCGCAGTCTCTTCAAGGGCGCGGCGGCGCGCAGCCAAGGGCTGCGACGCGGCCCCCGCGCTCCCGTTTCTTGTGTGTGTATGTGTGAGTGGGTGGTCAGGGCCGACGCTACGTCTCAGTAGCTCTCGCCGGCCCGAGCGGCCGCTGCGGCCGTCAGCCCTCGCTGCGCCTGGCGGCGGCGCTAGTGTCAGTGATGCACCCTGAGAAAAAGTGCAGAGGCAGGGCGCCCCCGCGCGGGCGGGGGGCGGCAACGGGGGTGGATCCGCGAGCGTCCAGCCCCATAGGGGAGGCTGTCCGGGATCAAAGACGAAGCAATGTGCTCGAACCGCACGCGGCGCTGCGACAGCCGGTGCGGCGACGATTTGGCCAGGCCGCTCACGACGGCCGCCGCGGGGGCGCCGTTGCAGCCAGGGTCCCCGCACGGCGCTGGGGCTGCCATCCGGGGCCGCCAGGTGCTCCTGCCGCCCTTCTCCTCCGCTGCGATGGGGGCCAGGGCGCAGGCCCTGCGCCGCCCTTGACCCGTCCTTGAGCCAAACGTGTCATTCCTTAATCTCGCTTGCCATCTCCAGCCAGGCCCCGCAAGACATCCATGGGGACGAGAGACCTCCAGCAATACACCTTGCGCCTCCGGACCACCAACGCATGCGGCGACGGGGTCAGCTCTCTGCAGCGGCCCCACCCAGGGGTCAACACCGCCGCTGCTGTGGCCCAGTGCCCTCAGCCCATGGCCGCGGCGCCGGCAGGCAGCGGGCCCGCGGGCGCGACGCCCGCGCCCGGGCCCGCGCCGCCCGCGGCGCCCCAGAGCGACCCCGCCGTCGACGTGGCGAGCCCCTCCCCCGCGAGCCGCCGCTGCGTCTGTGCAAACAGCACCGCCTGCTGCTGCGGCGGCGCGTGCGCGAGGCGGGCGCGTTGGGACTTGTTTGTCGCCACATCGGGCAGGGGTAGCAGCGGCGCTGGCACGTGTGGCTGGTGGCCAATACCGCCGCCGCCACCGCCGCCGCCGCCGCCGCCGCCCAGGCTGATCGGCGTGCGCGGCGACGTGCCCGCGCTGCTGGTGCCGTACGCGACCTCCAGCGTGAAGCCGTGAGACGGGTCCGCGCCGAACGCCGCCGGGGCACCGCCGCCCGCGCGGCCGCCGAACGGCGAGAGCCCAGGCCCAAAGGGCGGCATCGCCGCGGGCGGCGGCCGAGCCGCGCCAGCACGGTGCTGCTGCTGCTGCTGCTGCTGCTGCTGCTGCTGGAGCGCCGCCGTCACAAACGCCTGCTGCTCGAACGACGCGAGCGCCGCGGCGACGGCGGCCTGCTGCGCCTGCGCGTGCGCCTGCGCCTGCTGCGCCTCGAGAAGCCCCAGCTGCGCCAGGATCGCCAAGTCTGGCGCCGCCGCCGCCGCCTCCTGCGCCTGCGCCTGCGCCTGCGCGACGGCGGCCTGGTGCTGCGAAAACAGGAGGTAGGCGCGCTGCAGCTCGGCCTTCTCTGCGGACGACCAGCCGTCGGTCGCGGCCGGGTGCGCGGCCAGCAGCCGCAGCAGCACCGCGAGGAACGCCCACGGCGGCGCCGCGCCCGTGTGGCACGCCTTGAGCAGCGTGCAGAGCTCCTGCGGCTTGAACGTCAGCGCGGCGCCGCCGTCGTGGCTGCCGTGGCCGTGGCCGTGGCCGTGGCCGCTGCTGCCCCCGCCGCCGCCGAGCTGCAGGCGCAGCGTGGCCACGTCAAAGATCGCAGACAGCAGGTCATGCTGCAGCAGGCCGGCCTTGTCAAAGGCATACACCGCGTTTGACAGCGCCTGCTCGTTGAACCCGCCGACCCCGTGGTACGGCAGCGGCTGCCGCGTGCGCAGCAGCGCCGCCGTCGCGCGGAGGCGGCCGATGCTCTCCGCGTTGACGACGGCGAAGAGCTGCCGGAACGGCGGGTGGGTGCCGCACACCGGGCCGGCGACCGTCGCGAGCGCCCAGCAGATGTTGACCAGCGCCTGGCAGCTGAAGTCCGACTCGGCCGCCGCCAGCAGCTGCGCGGCGTCGGGCGCCGCGCCGCCGGGCCGCGGCAGCGCGAGCAGCTGCTGCTGCAGCCGCGAGAGCATGCGCGTCGCGGCCGTCGCGACCGCCTCCAGGAACGCGACCGTCGCGCCGCCGAAGGCGTCCAGCTCCATGCCGCGCGACTTGAGGTGCGCGAGCGCCCATATGCTGTTGCTCAGGGCCTGCGCGTCAAAGGGCTTCGCGTCGTCGGCGCCGGGGCGCAGCGAGGCGGCAATCTCGGCTGCTATCTTGGAAACCAGCGCGGCCACCACCTCCGGGGGGCAGACCGGCAGCTTCGCGTAGCTCCACAGCAGGTTTGCCAGGCCCTACGGGAAGTCGAAGGGTTGCAATGCAAGGGGCAGGGGTGAGACGGAGGTGCCGTGGGCGTGCGGCGCGGCGCCGACACAGTGGCGCCAAACGGGACACAAATACACCCCCTCGGCCAAAGCGGCGTCTAGCGTTCCGACAGGCCTTCCAAGGAAAAGCCAGAAGCAGAGTCTCACCTGCGGGCTCGAGCCGCGCAGGCTGCGCAGCACAAAGGGCGCCACGTTGAGCGCAATCTCCGTTGACAGGGCCGCCTCGTCGCTCGACAGGTCCAGCTTGGCCAGCGCCCACACCAGGTTGGCCAGGCACCGCGCGTCCACGCCACGCGGCTCGGCGCCGTGCTGCATGTACAGCAACTGCATGTTCATGAACTGGCTGCTGATGCTCCCTGCGATGGCCGGCGGCGGGGGGCAAGGGCGGCGCGGCGGGTGCGGGGCGGGGTCAGCACGCGGTGCATGGACGCGGAAGCCGCCGGGCCGCTCCGGGCCTCACCACGCCGCTCGCTGCACAGGCGTGCAGCATGGGCGCAATCGCCTGCAGGCGCTCGCGTTCCGCCACACCCAACCCACAGCAGGAACGCAAATCAGCCCAGAACGGGCGGGGCAGGGCAAGCGCAAGGGGAGGGGGCGCAGCAAGCGCGGGGCGGGGAGGGCGCGGCACCCACTGAGAAGCAGCTGGAAGGTGGGGGAGCGCTGCAGCTCCGTGAGGTACGCGTTGCGGCTGCGCTGGCTGAACGACATCTTGGCCAGGCGGTACAGGCAGGTCACGAGGTTGATGGGGTCCAGCAGCATGTGGTAGGACGCCACAAACTCCAGGAGCTCCTGGGAGGGGCGCGAGGGGGGCGCCGGGAAGGGCGGCGGGGCAGCGGCGGTGAGGCCTCACCGCAGGGGAACGTGCGGAAGAGCAGCTGCGCCGCGCGGGCCGCGAGCCTCTAGCGCTCGGCTGCCTTGCTTACAAGGCAGCAGCCGCATGCACGCGAGGCGGGCACGGGGCCGGCAGGGTGCGGGTCCAGAACAAGCACACCCCCGTGAGTGTGTGGCGGGCAGGGTTCGCCGCTAGTGCGCGGGACGCTGACACTGCGCACCTCCTTGGTCCTATAGGAGCTGATGCGCTTGAGCAGGCTGCTCTGCATAGGCACTGCAAACCCAGGCAGGCGGTTGCTCTTGCCGCTCTCAGAGCCGTCTGCGGGCGGTGGCAGGTCAGGGGTGGTGACGCTGAGCTGTCCCTTCCCCGTGCCCAACGCGGCGCCTCCTGCCATGCGTCTTCCTTCGCCACCTCGCCGCTCACCATCGCTCCACACCGAGCTCGCGGGACTGCCAGGCTGCTTCATATCATGGTGCTTCGCCAGCATCGGTGATGCAGGCGCGCTGGATGCTAAAGAGCTTCTCCTCCTTTGCCCGGAAGGCGCGGCCATGCTGGGCTGGGGCGCCTGCCCCATCAGGGCAGGCCTATATGTTGCTTGACACACGGCTACTATATTTGTCTCCGCGGCGAGACGGCTGGGCAAGTGGATGTGAGCTGCTGCAAGAGCTCTCGTATGTGACTGCACGCGTCGTTGAACTGAGATTTCAGTAGAGAAATAAGAACTTATGCCGACGGAAAGTTGCTATGCGGGGCGCAGGTGGTGGTCGTGTAAGAGGTGTAGAGGTCTCCCCTCCACCAGCTTCCGAACCCCGTTCCCCGTAGCTTCCAATTACACGAGCTGTTTGGGTTGGCGTAGGCTCCTGAAGCGCGCTGCATGCACGGATTTAATGCTGCGCATGCATGCTTGCATGCTTGACTGGGCCTAAGCAGCGTGCAGGAACAGCGCGTGGTCACCATGACCGACACTGGTTGGGCCGTTACATAAGCATTCCTAGCTGATGACTTCTCAGCCCCAGAGCAAAAGCCACAGCGATGTCTCAGTCGGTCTTGCCGCCACCACCGCCGCCAGCGGCCGGCGGCGCGAGGAGCTGTTTCAGCAGTTTGAGGCAGGCCGGGTGCAGCTGCCGCGCGAGCCGCTGGTCAAGGTCTCCGCGCGGAACGCCTCCGAGCCTCTTCTCCTTCTGCCCCTCATCATCCTCATCATCATGCGCCTCGCCGTCGCCCCCGCCGCGGCCCTCGCGCCCATCATCGCAGCCACTAGACGGCCGCCGCTGCGGCCCACCGCCGCTGCTGGAAGCCTCCCGCAGCGCCGCCGCGAGGCGCCGTAGCGCGGCCTCCAGGGCCGAGCCCGGCAGGACCACCCCCCGGCCGCTGTCGCGGGCTGCCGCGCGGGCGTCTGCCACCAGCTGCAGCAGTGCGTGTGCGCGCGCCAGGGCGGCGGGCGCCGCGTCGGGCGCCGCGGCCCCTGACAGCACCGCCTCTGCCACTGCGCTGCTGCCGCCGCTGGTCAGCAGCTGCCACGCAGCTCCGTGCGCCTCCAAAGCGGCCCCAGCCTCAAAAGCCGACAGCTCCAGGGCTTGGCGGCAGGCGGGCACGGCGAGCGCCCAATCGCACGCGTGGGATGACGATGCGCACGCCAGCAGCAGCGCGCGCCTGCCGTACATGTGACACGAGGTGTGCGGCAGTGAGGTGCATGACACACGGTTGCGCCGTCTCATTGGCGACCAACGCAGCAGGCAGCATGCACGAGCTTTGGCTGGAAAGCTGCTCCTGACACGCGAACTACTCAGCGCAGTACCACCCGATGCGCCCACCTCCCCACCTGATCGGCTCGGCCGCCGGCGTCGCCGCGTGCGCCACAAACAGCTGCACCAGGCTCCGCAGCACGCCGCTGCTCGCCAGCGCCGCGCCCGCGTCGCAGCCGCGGGGGCGGTCCAAAACGTACGCTTCACACAGATACGAAAGCACGAGCGCCTGCGCCAACCGCTCGCCTTCCGCACCGCCCGCACCAGGCCCAGGCGTGGCCTTTAGAAGGCCGCCGCCGCCGCCGCCGTGGCCGTAGCCTAGCAGCTCGAGCGAGCGCTCCATAAGCGGCAGCAGGTGCGCGTGCACCGCCGCCCGCAGCCGCCCGCGTGCGCCGGCGCCGGGCAGCCGCTGGCGCAGCGCTGCCGCGGCGCCCAGCGCGGCGAGCGCCTCGGCCGACAGCGGCCCGCCCGACCCGGCCGCCGCGCCCGCCGCGCCGGCGACCCCCAGCGCCTCCCAAAGCTGCGGCAGCAGCTGCATCTCATGTGGCTCCGCGGCGACGCGCTCCACCACGACCGCCACCGCCGAGTGCTGCAGCGGAGCGAGCTCGTCGGCGCGCGGGTGCACGCCCAGCGCGCGCAGCAGGCCGAACAACTCGGCGCCGGCGCCCGCGCCGCCGCCGTCGCTGCTGCTGGGGACCCATACACCGCCGTCCGACAGTACAGAGTAGTCCAGTCGCGAGCCCAGGTCCAACAGCCGCCCCCGCAGCGCCGGCCACTCGTAATCACGCTCGCAAGCTGCCTCTGCCTGCCCGCCCCAGCCCAGACTGCCGCCCGGCGCGCCCCTGCCCAGGCCGTTTGGCCCCAAAACGCCCGGGCACGGCGGCGGCTCGATATCCTCGTACGCCTCGTCGTCGCCGTCCTGAACCTCGGCCTCCACGACGACCTCTGCCTCAGCAACCTCGGCCGGCCGCGCCGCGCCGCCCGCTGCGCCCCGCTGCTGCCCGTGCCGCCGCTGCATCTGCGCGAGCGCCGCCGCGACCCTGTCGTCCGCTGCGCCTGTGCTACTAATTGCCGCCGCCTCGTCATCGTTGTTATCACCCGCTCCTGTGGGCCCAGGGGCCTCAAGCTCGTACGCTGCGAGGTGGCGCCATGCTTCCCGCTCTGGCGCAGCGACGAGCTTCCCCAGGAGGAGCAGCAGCACTGCAGCGCACAGCCGCTGGTGCAGTTGCCGCTGCTGCAGCCGCAACGCCGCGCCGCCCGGCGCGGGCGCGCCGGGGGCGACCTGTAGGGACGCCTCCGCCGCAGGTGCGGCGCCCGGCGCCCCTGCTGCATCAGCGGGCGGCCCGCCAAGGGCGCTCTCGCTGCTGCCCGCAGCTGCCGCCGCGGCCGCCGTCGCCGGCGCTGCTGACGGCGCGGGGGACCTGGCGCCGCTGGTGATGTTGTCAATAAAGATTCGCGTGAGCTGGTAGGGCGGCCACCCGCCCTTGCCTTGCAGCGATCGCCTGCATGCCGCAAGTGGGGAGGGAGGCAGCAGCTCGCTCTGCCAAACAGCGGGCGCTGATCGACGCGGCTGCCTTTGTCTGCGTGATAACACGCTCTCATGAGAGGAGGCCAGCGACGTTTCACCAGTATGCAAAGTTACTTGCGAGCGTGTGTGCACATGCAAGCACGCATGCGCCAGCACCCCCCACACACACATACATGCATGCACACGAGCACGCATGGGCGCACACGCACACACGCGCGCGTGCGCACACACACACACGCACACACACACACACAAACACACACACACACACACACGCACACACCTGAACACCGCCAGCAGTGCCGCCAGCTCGTCGCCCGCTACCAATGGGAAGTCGTACTGAAGCTTCCGCCACGCAGAGTCAGCCAGCTCCCGCTCGCCCCGGCCTGCCTGCCGCCCCTCCATCTGCCTGATCTCCTGCACCAGCCTGCGTTGGTGATCGCGCAGGGTGTGCGAAGGGGAGAGTATTTGGCGCAAGGGCAGGCTATACGGGGCCGGTTGCAAACGCCCAGCGTGCCAGACTCCTCAGCAAGCAGGTGCAGCGAGTGCACTCAGCCGAGCGGGTACACCAGATTCACTGGTATCACCAGCACAGGGCTGCACTCACCTCGCGGTAAAGGCCTTGCGGTCCATGGCCACGCCGCCAGCCGCAAGCTGCTGCTGATCGCGTGCGGCTTGCGCGTCAGCGCCGATGGCGGCGCGCTGACGCCGCTGTGGAGGGATTGGCTGGCCCCTGCTAGGAGGCGGCATCCCCGGCAGTTATACAGGCGGATGAAGGCGTGCTGCGACTCGTGACAACAGATCGTTCGTACGGCAGCTGTTCACAGTGCTGGAAAGATCAGGTGTGCAGATGTCTGATTCGATAAATGAAGACACTGAGAAACAGACTTTGTACCACCTCTTGCCGAACCTGTTCATTCCAGGGAGTCTGCCGTTGCGGGGTCACCGTGGTGGTGACATGCCACACAACCTGAGCTCCCTCCTGCTCAGCATATGGCGACCATACCATCCGAAGTTTACGATGAACACCGTGGGACAAATATAGCATCAGGAAAGCACAACATCCTGATCTATTTTACAAAGTATCGGCGGCGAGCCTCGGGGGCTGGCACGCCATGGCGCGTCACGTTGCCCAGGCGAAGGGTTTAGATGTGCCGGAGGAGTATGAGCGGCTAGTGGCGCCCCATGTCGCCTCCTTCGACTGGTTTTTGAACGAGGGCCTGCAGAGCGTCGTCGATTCGCTGGATCCGATCGAGGTGTGTTGAATTGCTTGAGGGTGCCGTGCCGCGAGCCATGAGCTCCGGCCGCCGGCGACCCCCGCCCGCTGCCGCCACCGCTGCTGCTGCTGCTGCCGCAACCCAGCGGCCAGCCCATACAAATCAATTGCACCCCGACTGTGGGATATACAACGAGCTTTGCTTGTGTCGGCTGGTACATGGGTCTCTGCTTGCGTGGTCAGAGGTGTAACGTGAGTGTCGTCCGCATACGCTCCTGTTGCTGCACACTGAGTACACATTTCAAGTTCTGTGCCAAACCCACTCACAGCTGCTACGTATGTTTTGTTGCAAAGAAAAGAGCATGCAGGAGCTTTCGCTGCTTCAAACGGCCGACAGCCTGCAGCATCGCTGCCCGGCCCCGCCCGCCCCGCCCGCTGCACCCTCCCTCCCGCGCAGATTGAGCACCCAGCCACAAAGCGCGTCCACCGCTTCTGGTTTGAGAACCCCATCGTCGGGCGGCCGGTGAACGAGGAGGCGTCAGTGGCGGCAGACAGCAGGCTCATGCCGCGCGACTGCAGAGAGATGGTGCGCTTACACGCCTGCCACGGCAGCATGCAACGGTGGTGCTTACCGCGTTTGCTCCCGATTACGACGGCGGCTGCGCAACCCCCAGTAGCGTCACCACCGCTGGGGGCGCGGTGATTGCGCAGCCCATGCACTCGTGGAAATCATGACATCTGGGTCCACGTATGCAAAGCTGTCGGCGCCCGCAGCCTTCCGCGCCGCCCTCTGCACCACCCCCCTTTCCGTACTCTCAACCACCCCACCCCTATGTGATGCTTGTCACCAGGGTGTGACCTACAAGGCGCCCTTCAGCATGGACCTGTGCTTCGAGAGCGACGGCGCCGGCGGCAGGCGGCGCATCCAGAAGCGGTGCGGGGCATGAGGGGGGACGGGGGGGCTGCTTGGCTGGCAAGCGGAAGGCGGTGGCAGTGGGGAAGTGATGGCCGCAGCTGCAGCGGTGGCAGCATTAGCTTTGGCGCCAGCGCCGGCAATAGCCGTGGCGGTCGCAGCAGCCGCAGTGGTGGTGGCGACGGCGGCGGCGGTGGCAAAGCGGCGGCGGTGGCAACAGCGGCAGCAGTAGCAGCAGCAGCAGCGGCGGCGGCGGCGGCGGCAGCAATGGCAGCCGCGGCAGCAGCGACAGCAGCGACAGCAGCAGAACAAAGAGAAGCAGGTCACTGAGGAGAAGCAGTAGCAGCAGCAGCAGCAGCAGCAGCAGCAGCAGCAGCAGCAGCAGCAGGTGCAAAGGCGCTGTCAGCCGCAGAGTTGGCCGCAGTAGTAGCAGCAGCAGCTGCAGCAGCAGCAGCAGCAGCAGCAGTTGCACGGCATAGAACAACGGGTCACAAAAACCTATGCTGCCCTGCGCCTCCCATCAGATGCAGCCAGCACGCTGCCCAAAAGCCGAGCATCAGCAGCATCAGCAGCAGCATCATCATCATCATCATCATCTTCATCATCATCATCAGCAGCAGCAGCAGCAGCAGGAGCAGCAGCCGCCGCCGCCCCCCAATCCTCGGCCCTAAACCCCCCCTGCTCCCC